GAACCTCAGTACATCGCAACACTTAAAAAGAAAAAAAAAATGGAAAAAAGTGTAAATGCTTTAGGCGGCAGTATTTAAAGTGAGTGAACCACTCGTACGTGTTTGTGTGGCATCGTCTGTGCGGGCGGCTCTAGTTTACATTACACTATGAACAATAGGCGCATACGAGTACACTTATGCGCGGAACTTAGCTAACATTGCAAAGCTTGGAGGCAAAAATACTGAAAGTATTGAATGTTTGCTGCGACATTCAAATGAAGCGATAAACCGCTTTTGAGCTCTAAAATCCTTAACTCGAGAGAGATTGTGATTACTATTTTTTTAATGGTAGGAAAATGCCCTTTTAGGACAAGAGCGGCTTATGTTATGTCTCCATAACCTAATAAAGCATTGTAGGTTTTATGTATAGATCTTTGTAGAACGTTTCCAGTTAAACGGGGTTGAAGTTACAGAGTAATTTGCGGAACAATTTCCTAGCAAAGCAATTACCCGCTGCTCCCTCACTAGGGATCAAAGACTAATGGGCCCCGTACGTGCTGCTCCTGACTATTGTTAAACGGATACGATATTATTGATTTACAGCCTGTCAAAACGATGTGTCCGTTTGTTCCTAAAATTACTAATCTAATATATTATAATTTAATAAGATTTTTCTGGTAAAAATACCCAGATAAATATTTATGATGCTGTCCAATGCACTTTAGAGCTTTCGTTGGCTTATATCTTAATATTTCGGCGAAGTCAAGAAATAATTCATGATGAAAGATGCACATCAAAAACAATATTTCTCTCTACGAAGCAGGTCGCAATAATATTCAATTAATAGGAAACAATTCTAAACATCTTAGAACACTTTGAACGTCTCTGATAGAAGTTTGATTGCGATAAAGGAGAGGCAAACTCGTCCAAAGCTATGAGCTCACGACAACTTAACAGGGTACGTCCGATTTTGCTGCGTAATTATTTGGTTAACTGATTGCTATTGTTCTTACATACTTTGACTTATGATTAATGCCATGGACCTTGTTATTTATTGTTGGGATAAAAATATGAGAATTATACAACAAATTTTCGAACTTAAAATAGGTTTCCTACTACTTTGGAAGTTTACATATAACTTTGTGAATTCAGCGGCCTCTCAGTGTAAGGTGTCATACCAAATAATCGCTAAGGGTCCTTCTTCGTAAGCTTTGAAAGACGAGTACGACGGTAATGCATTAAAATAATAATAAATAATTACACTAGTTGACAGCACAGCTGCCGTAAAAATAATTAAAAATTGGACTTTTGGTTTCCGATATAGCTACATAAAGTTGCGCATTAAAAATATTTTAAAAGAAGTGGGACAGTAAAGGAACGGCAATGTTATTCCCGGCGGGCATCTGTCGTGTGCAGGCAGGGGTAAGCGACGCGGAATGTCGGTAGCAAACGCCGCACCGCCTGCGTTCGTAAGACCTTAATTTATGCCCACCAGGTCACTGCGGCACCGACTATACGCAAATCATATATCAACTCACACGGATTTAAAAATAGTGCATGAAAAAATATTTGTACAGCATGAAAATTTTATAATTTCAGCGTCAAAATGTCTATTAAAGTACAATTTTCTCTCATACTTTGTTAAACACAAAACTTTTTCAACGTTTTATTTCTTAAATAAAACCACACAAAGTTGGTAACGATAAACTAAAGTTAAATCTATACATTTTTAATAGAATAATAACGATATCGTATCGTAAAGTTTCTCTTCTAAATTTGACACTGGGGTCTCACTATCTTAAACTTACGCCTCGTTGCCTCCGTCTCCAATATAAGCACGCCGTTCCGGTAATACAAAGTAACGGAACTTTGTACAAAGGAAAATTTAAGGCTAAATGTGTTTTTATATAAAAATCTATTTATAAAATAATTATCAATATTCGCTAAGTTGATGTTAAATATCTTAAAATCGAATAAATAATGCACATTTCGTTTGTAACAACGCGAAATAGATAGATTAGAGTTTTCCATTTGGCTTGGATTTGACAAGATTAATACTTTTAAAAATTCATCGTTTATTACGGTAAAATAAAAAAACCAAATACTATAAGAAATTATAATAACACTTTTTTATAATCGAACTACAACTTATATTCGGTATAAAAATGTTTAAGGCGACGTTTCCGTTCATGATAAATCACGACTATTTATTTTACTTGTGGAAAAATAAAGTTAGAAACGAGAACCTTCTAATCGGCAGTAAGTATGAAGTTCTATAGTACGCCTTCAAAGTTACTTTGTAAGAAATGTTCAATGACCTCACTCATAAAAAATCAATAGAAGCTTAATTTTCATTACGCAATTTGTATTTCGCTTATTTTAACATAAATGAAGTCAAGTTTGATTCAGTTCAAAATGTATTCAAACGGTGGAAACGAAATTATTGCTCATTGGCGGCTAACGAAATATTGGTTAGTGAGGCCATTTATTACGTCTGATCTATTGAAATTTATGTTTCGTATTTCAATATAATTTAACGTAATATTCAAATTATATGTCAATAAAGAAAACCATGAATTAGACTTAAAAATTACGAAATGTATTTTTACTGATAATTTAAAAATAGGAACTAACTGCTTGATACTCTAATCCGTAAGAATTTCCTAGACAATTTAACCAATTTCCTCTGTTTCTAGTTATAAACAACGATGTCTGAAAACGATTAAAACTTTCACAAATTTATATGAGTCACATTCTTTTTAAAAGTATTCTTATTTTATTTTAATGTGAATAGATATTAAGGATGGATGCCTTTACGCGTAAAGTATGAACATCTAAAATACAAGAACGTCTTACGACACCTCTAATGTTCGTGAATAAATGAGAACAAGATTGTCGGCGTAGGTGAGCTTTTCCCTGTTATAGGGAGGTGAGGGAGGAGGTACATTTATGAAGCCGTGGGTTGCCGCAACAGAGGTGTTTTGACGGAAGTCAGAATTTACGGCCGACTGTGTTCAAAGCCGTAACCATTGAATATTGCAACCGGCACCACAAACTGACACACCTCTCAAATTCTGAACGCTGTCGAATAATAATGAATATGTGTTATAACTAAGATACGCATTACACAGTCACCTTTATCAAGATGAGAAGATGTTAAATGAGAATTTAGAGAAATGGAAAAACGAACAGTTACGATAAAAGCTTCATTCGCACAAATGTTTGGTAAGCAAATAACGTAATGAATGGCCAATTCGTTTAGCATGCGGACCGCTTCATTAGCTAATAAGTAGGTTCGCATTCATTCGGTGTCTACGCTTACATTTTATTTGGTGCGAAATAACTAAAATATTCACTGAAAATTACGTGATGTTCTTATTCATGATTACATATTGTTAATTTCTTAGGAGAAAACATGTTAAGTATGTGTACAGTAGCTTCTATTCATCAGTAAGACAGTTTTACGATGCAATCACTCAAATGTTGACACAAAACCCATACCAGGAACATTCTCGAATCCAGTCTGTGGCAGTATAACAAATTTATTACACGTAAAAACGGCCTTAAATGTAGCACAAAGAAAAAGATTTATGTCCAAGTCAAAATGATTGTAATCGTAAAGGCGTGCGTCAATATTATGAACAATTACGCGGGGCTCAAATAAAATTAATTCGTTTATAGGTTGAGGTATTTCCAAATATTTTATTATTTGATACAACAAAATCTGAAATAATCGTGATGAATATCAGATATAAGTCACGAAGTGGGGCGATCCTGTGGAAGCGAGGCGAGGGTTGCCTTTGTTGGCTTCCTTTGTTTGTTGTCACACTAAGTTCGGTAATAACGTTCGAGCATTAAAATTCGGGTCAGGTTGTTGACTCAAATTTATGAGGGCCTTATAAATTACTAGCCTTTATTTAGCGTTTATATTAAAATGCCCAATAGACCTATTTGAATACTTCTCACAATTTCTTTTAATATTTTTCTTATAAAATTATTTATAAGGAAAGCAAAATAAAAAAACCCAATTTATTTCAAGTTCCATACATTCCAATAATTTTTTTCTGGCTTCACAGTATAGAGCTACAGATTTAGTTTGATTTTTTTCTTTTCGGTAGTAAAAGAAGAAGGAAAACAGTAATTGTTAGATGCCATTATCCTTTTTCCAAAAGAAACCTAGTTAAGTACATTTGGCGAAAATACGCTTTTTTGTATTACAAAATTCTTATCGGTCGAGTCGATCTATTTTACTACATACAAATAGTTTGACGCAAATCCCGGCCGTGTAGAGTCGTATAGAGTTACAATATTAAATTTCAAACAATCGAAACCTTAGAAACATCAGATAGCTCACCAATAAATGTAATGTCCTTTGATTCTTCCAGTGTAGTAACATAAAACTACTAAACCGAGTTAAAATGTGCCTTCAAACTTTCTCTAATACGCGAATTGTAATTGCCATTTCCATGGATTGCCTGGATTCGATTGTGATTAAAATAATTAAGTATATAATAAACTGCCGAGAGATAACTAAATTACAACTAAACTTTGATCAATCAAAATCTAGTTAATGTTAATAAAAAAATTCCAAAATTAAGCACCTAGGAATTTTAAAATAATATATTGTGACAAAACCAGTGTGTCAGTTTTCTAACTCACTATCGATTTTCTAAAGAAATCGATTAAAATCTATCACATATATTTTAATCAATGTAAAGCAATATACCATGTGAAGGCCCCTAGCGTCTACACTACACATCTTTGGTTGAAAGTAAGTTGGTTATTAGTAAATCATCATATTTTCGACCACGGAATTTGTAGTACTCCGTACACGCCTTTTCCAAGCTTCCTGTATATTCCGTTTGCTTATGTTAACTTGGACGTCTTTTTCTTCGTAATTAATACAATCATTTTTTTTTATTACAGAGAATTCACACATAATATAATATAAAACAAAATATCAAACAAATATGATATGTACGTAGCTTCTCAATTAAACGCACAAATATTGGGCGTTCGTGACTCACTAGAGTATCTTTGCAATGTTCGCAAAACAATAGCGCTGCCATTTCAAGATATAAATTAAGGAAATTGAAATGTGGAAGGACGTTTCATTTTGTGATGTTTGTTTTTTTTACAGTTTCATAAAAATTGTTAGACAATGGAAATATGAAATCTTTGTATACATATAAAAGCCTTAAGGCTTAATGGTAGGTATATCTCAGGATCATTTCAAGTTACTGCAGTTGGTATTTAATATTACTAATATTGTAAATGCGAAGATTTGCATGGATGGATGGATCTTTGTTACTAGATATCTCTAGAGCGGCGAAACGGATCTCGAGGAAATTTGGCATAAACGTTGAATACAGTGCGGAAGGACACATAGGCTAGCTACACTCCTGGAAATGTATACGGCTCCCGTGGGATACATTTGATTATCATATTTACTCCATAACTGAGCAACGGTACGACATATCTTATTGAAATTTGGTAAAACATAGTCGCAAATAACATAAAGAACTCTGCGCGTACAAAATGCACGGGCAAAAGCTACCGATATATAATTTAGGTAAATTGAATTTAAGTTTTAAATCTAGTGTTTTAGTTATATCGATCAAGTTAAAAAGTTAAGAGATTTCGGTTTTATTTTACATTTTATGAAATAAACATTGAAACCGTATTGAATTCGAAACTAACTTTGGATCTAAAGTATTAACTTTATACTATCTTCACAATGTCGTTCGTACTACATTGCGGTTCGTTAAATGTTATGACATCACGTGTTATAAAATTCGAAGTACTGAGAAAATGGTAGCGAAAATATCTACTTCTAAACTAACAGTAGTATTAAACAAAGTAAGTATGTATAAGAATAGTTTTATTCATTTTTATTTTTTATAAAGTTACATCCTCGCCTAGGTTCATACACTAATTAAATTATTATTTAGGTTATAAAACATGACAAGTGCTGTTCAAATCAACTTAAGCAGATGCAAACTTAAAGGAGATGTAAGGAAAGGTTTCATGTTCAAGTCTTCTGCCGGTGTACCTTGATATTATATGTATTTTGACTACACTAGACTTTGTAGATTATTTAAGGTAGCAGTAGAATCTACCTTAAATGGAATAGATTTATTTAATTTTACAATTTTGCAGTTGTTACTCACCTGCGGCCCGGGCCTCCTTGCAAGCAAGCACCATACTGTGGCGAACGTCGGGGTTGTCGTCAGCGATGGTCTCGCCGACCGCGACGAAACGCTCTACAGCGCAGCACACCGCGGCGCCCACTCGTTGCACCGCCGCGCCGCCAGCAGCCTCACCGCGTGTCGCCACCAGGCTACTGATCTGAGACAACATTTGCCTTTATTAAAAAGAAAACTAAACATTTCCAATAACTTAATATTTTAAAAAGGTAAAGTACGATTGTCCACAAAAGCCAGTGTACCTTCTTGTAAAATACTCTCAAATTGATAAAGGCATGAACTTACAAAGTAATGTTGTATAAAGTCAAATCCATCTTGTATCAACTACCTTCCGTCCACTGATTTGTTTTCTTTTTATAATCTACCGCTGATACTAGTGCAATTCTTTGACTTTAAACTATACCGTACTCACTATACTGGAGTATAAGTCTAGTAAACGAGGCTTTTTTATTTAACCGGACTGCAGACACACCTGCTGTTCCTGCAACTTGGTTTACGGGCGACCGTTACTTAATTTTTTTTATATTTAACTACGTTAATATAGTTAAAAACTTTTATTTATACTATTGAACTCTGTATTCGAACTCTGTTGTCGAAAAAACACATTGACTTTGGCCTAGTCACCCCTAACTCTTAGGGTAGGCTCCGAGCCCCTCGGTGGGGACCTATTGTGAGCATCAGCTCACAATAGGTCCCCACCCATCATCAGATGATGATAAGTTGTGACTTGACACACACACGCAAATTAATTAAATTGAACTGACCTCATAAATAATCTCAATTAGTATGTCGCGGAATTATAACAATTGAAAAAACATCTTTGTTTATTATTAACAAATTATATTTGTAAAAAAATATATATTACCTTTACTTAAGCGACTAAATTAGGGGAATCGCTTGCATCTTCTTTCATAAAAAGTTACTTAGGAATATTGTAAATAAGACTATAGCCGTGCGTAATATTTTTCTATTTAATCTTATATTAGCACAGTATTTAAAGACCGACGACTTTCACAATTGATCGCATTACAAAGACCGAGTTATTCTTGGAAGCATGTCAACTAGCCTTTTATCATACTATAAGTGTTGACATACTTAATTTTTTGCACTTTTTAAGTTACTTATGAATAATTTATTAGCATTATGTAAAATTTCTTAGATCATTTATCTTATAGGCAACCTTATAAAAGTTTTAATAAATAGTGCAAGAGCGACGTCCACCTGATGCTACTTAATAGATCTTTTTTCTTTATACATTGTCATGTTTTGGAATAAAATATATAAGCTGCATAGGCTTTGGTAAATTTTCGTTAACTGTGTTTTGATCTTCTTTTATTTAGTAAAATGTAGCAATAAAATAAAAGAAACAAGTCACTACAATTTGTGGAAAATGCTAGCATTAACTCATATCGTTATAGTTCTTTCTAACTAAATTATGTAGACAATGATGAAATGTGTGAAGATTTTCGTAGAAAGTATTTCATGTAAATATTTATGACTGCTACGTTTCCCGTTCGTGCCGTAACAATAAATGTACAGGCAATTGGATTTAGAGCATCCAATCTAAACGAGATTGCAGTACGTGCTTTCCCTTTCTCTTCTATTCCGTGTGTATCGTATCTCTAAAATAAACACCATTTTCTAAAACATAAGTTTTGATACAAAAAAAATAATTAACTATCACCATCTGATCCAAACATTCGATATGAACACATAACTAACTATTAACAAAATATTTTATCTTTGTAGTATTCTATTTTTAATGCTTAAAGATTAGACAAGGATCAACGTAACATCTGATTTTTGGTTTGCCTATAAACGTAATATAAAAATATATTTCTAAATAAGGGTTTCGGTGCTTTGTGAAAAAACCTTGTCTTCTTAACTTTTTTCGAATTTAAAATAAGACACTATATTATATTGGACACGTGATAAAATTGGATTGTCTGTGTGTAATATACAGACAATGTGTATATGGGAGCTGGCACATTTAGGTAAGCTACTTACTGACCGAGTCGAAGTAAACCATATAATTTGTTAAATTTCCTTACTAATTAAATATTTGATCTTTAACTTGTAGTCAAAGTGTAAATAAAAATTATTTTACGTATTTACTTAACGTTATTAACGACATAACTTACAACTGATAAAGTTACAAAGTATCTAGTACCCTGGTATGTTATGAAGTTACGATCTAGATTGCATTATTTTTCAAAACTTTTTAAATAATTTGTACTTAGATATTTTATATTCAGAAATATTTTTGCGTATTTGTACCGTTTTTACTTGTTTTAATTGAAAAATATCGAATGATGTTTATGTTACAACTCAGTTTTAAAATACGTTGATCATGAAAGACGCCGCTAAACTTAACAGTGAGGGTCACCGCGTGTTCCGATCGAAGTCGATCTATCACGCGATCTTCTTCTACGCCTGAGGCACTTGTTGCGTTTTATTTTGATTATATTCATTGTGATCGTGCAGAGAAGTATTGATATGAATATAATTCGAATTGGCGGTACGTCCTCTCTACAAACGTACCTGGGGCTCCCGGCGCGCGTACTCATCGTCATCGGAGAGCGTGTCCATATCGGACGAGCGCGCGTCGAGTGTGCGAGCGGTGATCGCGCGTGTAGGACGCGCTAACGCTAGCGCGGGCGCGGACGCGCACGTGCCGAGTGGGCCGAGTGTCGCTGCGGCGCCGCGCCGCCCCGCCGCCCCGCTCGCGTCCGACGCGGCACTGCCGCTGTCGACCCGGCCATCGATCCGCGACCGCCCGCCCGCGCTCCGCACACACACCGCACCGACTACACGTGGCCGCCCGCCCCGACACTTACGCAAACTCGAACTTAGCATCACTCTTTTGTACCTCAGTCTTCCATGACCTCACTTAATAATACTACGGACATGCCCTAACTTAATATAAGAACTTATGTCCTACAGTTCTGTATTGGAAAATAACAATTCTCGGATGGGAAGCTAACGAGGTTCAAAAAAAGCGCCATCACAGAGCGTACTCACTGCGATTGCGCAATGAATAAGCAACAGATAGTCGTCGGGCGGGAAACTTCGGCGTCATGTGACGCAAAACGCCACTGCGACGTCGCGAGCCAGCGATTGCACGAATCCCAAAATAATAATACGACTTTGAATACGGCGTAAAAGTCAGCGAATCATTGACGACGTCAGCGGATTAGCGCGATGCAGCTACAACATGTAGAGCGTCACGGGCGCAGCGAGCGACTCGCGCCGCTGCGCTCTGTGCCGCCGGCGGATGATTGCAAGTGTGTATAGCATACCTGTCTGATGAGTGGGAGTAGCGTTTTCTCGATGGTGCGCGTCTTTATCTGAGAGAAGTCGAGTTCTGGCGAGCCGGCGGCCGCCATGGCTGGCGCGGGCGCGACTGCGCGGGCGTCGAGCGTGGAGCGCGCGTGCGCCGCTGCGGCCGCGTCACGCGCCGCGCCGCCCGCCCGCCGTAAACACGAGCTTGCGTGTTAACGCATACTCTTGCGGGAATATAAAACTACAGCTTTATGTGTTTTATTTTGTTTTGATTGCGAATGCCAATTATTTAAGTACACATGGATGTTTTAACCTATTTTTGTTTTATGTTGTTGTGTTGTCGCTATATATTCGTAGTTACGCTTTTGAACAGAAATCACTTGGAGTTTATGAAATAAAACTACCGTGTAATCGAGAAGATTTATTGAGTTAATTGTAACAACTTAACGACTAATCACTTACATAATAATCATTGGCACATTATCACAAAACACATCAATGATTCATCTGTCGTGTTTTAATAAGTAAAATATGGAAAAAGGCAATTGATATAGTGATGATTCATTGCAACATACATTTTTGTTACAAAAGTTTTTCATTTATGTCTTGTTATTACTAATTACAGGAAATTATTTTATTTCATTTAAATAACTGACACGCTGATCACGCTTTTAATTAAATTTTAAACTTAACTTCAAGTCTATGTAAAATTTAATATAATTACTAAAGTTATTTTTGGGAAGCGAGACAAAACAATTTGATTACTAATTAATTATACTTAATTAAAACTTTGGTTGTTAATAATATGGTAAGATATGAACAATGTTAACTCAGCTCTAGGTGGTAGTATAAATTTTATTAAACGTATATATTTAAGTCCACCTTCCTTACTTTTGTATGAGATAACTTCATAATTTTGAAACATACACACGAAAGCACACAATGTTCGAGGAATAAATTGGCATAATTTAAATGCTGATTTGATAGTTGCATAGAAACGTAGGTATTAGTTTTTTCAAATATATTGAGAGTCTGCGCAACGACTCGGGCGATGTTAAAGCCGCCAAGATATCTGAAAACACTTATACATTACTTATTGAGGGTACGACCAACTGGGGTAAATCTTTATGTAGAAAAGTGTATACACATATTAAGTCCCTGACATGCATTTGAGTTTAATTGTAATAAACTCCCATACTGATTTGTGGTCGACGTTTGTTATAAAGCGCTTGGTTTGACCCAGAACTATCCTGGGAACTGTCAGACATCCAAGGGCTCTTCCCAGATGTGTTGCGTACTTTCCGCTTGCGGAGGCTCTCGGTAGGCCCTAGCGTCGGCCGAAGAAGCTGCTTGAAACGGAACGGACCCTCCGTGTAATCATCATCGGAATTGAACACCGGCGTGGCGAGAATTTCCGGCGAATTTCTGAGAATCTTGCGCAGACTCGACTCAGGATCGCGCGCGAGCTGGTACGTGATCCTCGGAGGTGAATCCGCTTTCTGTGTTTGCTTAACAAGCTCATTTATTTTATTGCTGAAATAAAAATATATTTGATAATCTCTTCGCCTCGTTGTTACATGATTTCTGTGGTTACTAGCCTAATGTTAACGATATAACTTTATGTACATTTTTTAAATTAATGATTTAATAGATATACCTAAAATGCATGAAGTTGGAACTATACGAATGTAGTCGAATCTAGGTGAAAATCTTTACTTGCGTAAATGCGTCTGGATCTCATCAAAAGAAATTTAGAGCAAACTAGTCCTATTGATGATCAGAAGGTGCTCAGGGAGGTTAGATTAGATTTGTCTAGGTCCTAGACTCTAGGATAATGAGTTCATGCATGTACGGAAATGTAAAACATTCACAGTAACACATACAAAATAAATTGTTCTTCATACCCTTTGTTAATAATCCAAAAGAATATGCATGCATTGAGAGATATGATTAGCTTATGGCCAAAATCTTTGAAAATTATATTCTTCTTCATACCTGACTAGACCTCCACACTGTCTATTGCAAGGTAGATTTTGCCAATTTTGATTCGGTTGCAGACGATTTTCTTCATTGTAAATTTTATCGTGCCCATTTTGTTGATACCTGTACCCAAGTTTGCAATTTAATATAAAACGAGAAGTCATAAAATAAATGAATTCTGTCAAAATGAAGAACACACCTCGGATACCTGGATTCTACATTGTATTTATTTGATCGCAACGGTACGTCCCACGGTTTAGTTGAACTTTCAAAAAATTCCGGTGATGGACTAATCCAGTGGCCAATATTGAAAGCAAGGAAATACAAATACAGAAGATAAATAAAGAAGAACAAATGAAATTAAAGATATTGATAAAATTAAAGCAATCCTTTGAACACGTCGTCATTTATAAAAGTTACAATTGTAATGGTGCTTAATTTTATAGATATTCCTAAAGTTTGCTAATTGTTAGATACACACAAAAAGTACTTATTTCTTGCGTCACCGATAACCGCTAAGTACTAAAAAAGTATGCTTTTTAAACGACTTTAAAAAGGAGGAGGTCCTCAATTCAGTATGTTATTGTTCAGAAGACAGCAAAAGTCAAATATCTTGATCTTTTTTACCTGGACAGTCTACTGGCATCTCGTTCAACTTGTGTGAGATTTCCTTTTACAATGGCAGGTATAAGGCTGAAGCCAGGCGGGGCACGATACTCATCGGGTGGACGCTCTATATTTATCAAGCGAATGCCAGGCTTGTTACGTCTGAGATTCTTGTGAATATCTTGGTTTCTAAAATGCGCCTGCAAAAAGTATGTTTGTATGTAATCAGTTGTTTACAACAAATTGTCACATATAAAATTTAATTTAATGCCCTTTGTAAATAAGGCAACGTAAATTGTCTAAAGTAATATTGCAGGCGTCGTGAGAATTGCGTTGCGTATGTTCAGAAGTACAAAAAACGTTGAATCGTCGCCGATTATTTGGTCAGTACAGACATACCGACTACATATTAAGTACAAGATGGCAAAGAGTTAGCGAAAAAAATAATACCTGATCAGCGAATGTTTGCAGCTGCGCGGCACGCTCTTGTACGGAGAACTTCTGCATTATGTTCTGAGGCGCGGGAGGCGGAGAGTGCGCGGGCGGCGGAGGCGCGCGACCCTTCGCCCATTTACGCCGAGCTGTATACCCACGGAAATCTGGAAGATTATTACCATATTTGTATAAGAGTACACAAAAAGCAGCATCGAAATTCACATGCTGATAAGTATTTTCGAGACTGAGCATTTTCTTTAATTTTCACTAAACCTTTTTTTACAATAATGTGTACGCACATAAAGGTTATATTTACACAGGTAATGAAGTTATTTACATATACACATGCAGTATATCGTTGGAAACAGAAAATGAAATAATCTTCCAAAAATTCTTACATATAGTAAGATTACTTCCAGATAGACATAAGATTAAAGTGCACACAATAGTACAAAAGTTTTGCTTATCCATACCATTAGGCAATTTACATAAGAACATGATTTATCCAGTTGCTAAAGAATTAAAGCTTTGTGATTAAGGACATATAATTTTTTATATACATTTAACTACTAATTAAGATCGTTACACAAGTCACTACACGTGCATGTATCAAAGTACTAACGACTCTGTATAACCACGGCAGCCTCATTGTTGTCTATGTTCTCTTTGTTGCTCGATTTGTTGTCTGGACTATCGTTAGCTTGAGATGTCATTTTTCTTATAAGCTTAGCCAAAGCTTTGTTCTTATGTGGTACACCTAGGAATACAAATCAAACCACATGACAAATTACTTATGCTAAACCAAAATAATGCCTATTGCCACTAAATATTAAGGGTTGGTTTTCGCATTAAATCATTTTTAACGTACACTGAAGATATAAATAATGCACTTACTGATATAGACTAATCTACCTAGCAATAATTCAGAAATCATATAATAATAGATGTCCGCAGATAATTCTGCAAGGAACATATTCTGAAATGTAACATTTACCAGGTTTCTGTTTTCGGTTGTTATCGTCGTGTTCCATCTGTTCTCGCTTGAACTCTCTGGCGATTTGTCGCTGTCGTTCGCGCAGATGCTTGCGGGTGAGCCAGCCCCGAACGTGGCGCTGCAGTGTCAGCACAGAGATGGACATCTGCAAGCGGAGCCGCTCGCACTTCCGCCTTGCCAGCCACGTCCGCACGCACGCTTGCACCAGGATTATTTTCCTAATCTGAAAAATTAAATACGTGATTCAATTATTTTCAGTACGTGATATTCTAAAATTGTAAAAATAATAACTCAACTCAACTAGATATAGACTAACGATTTTTTATATTAATACTGTCGCTCTGTTTGCTCTGGCGTTCGTGTATCCAGGAATACGTGCTGATCAACGACTAATATTTATTATCAGGGATTTAAAAGTATTGAATAATTTGAAAATTAAAACTTTTAATTTAAAATGGAATGATACCTGCTCTTCATATATCCTCGATAGAACTTCAACGTGATAATACTTCAGAAACACCTTTGATTTGCCGAGAGCCCATCCATCCATTTTGAGCCTCAGCAAAAGAAGACGGCAAGAGTCACGATTTGGCTTAACTTGTTCATCATAACCAAAAGCTAGGAAACCGTATCTGAAGAAAATAAATGGCTTTTGTGATCTTTTTATAAATCGAAATACTAAATAGTATTTATGTAAAGCAAAGAAATACCGTTTGATAAATTCTTCAAATGTAAGTCGGTGGGAAAATCCATTTTGTCGTATCCTAATTGTCTCTAGTACTCCCGTGTAGCGAAGCTGCTTGAGTATTTTCGCTGAATCGAAGTGCTTTGGTGAGCGAGTGTCGTTTGGCTTAAGACATCTCACAAACTGTGGACTTCCACTGACCATTTTCTGTAGCAGTTCCATCAGAGAATAACGGAAGTAAGTCGAAACTGTCTGCTGCGCTCGAGATTGCGACGCCAGGCCTCGGCTGTTGCATCTATCCTGTTTTATATTAAACTAAAATTTAAATTAAATACTAATGTAGAAAGAATATTGTAACATTATTTAAACTTACCCTCATATCACCCGACATAGTACTTTCCAAACTTCTCGAATCTAATTCCGGATGTAAAGCTGAATATAAGTTGCCAGTCTTTGTAATAGGGCATTGGAATAAGAACCTTATTATATCGTGTTGACTCTGTCTCATCAGTTGAACAACTTCGGGAGGCAAAAAGTTTCTGTTCTTCTCTAAGAAGCCGTCCGCTTGATATACTACTCTGCCCGCAAAATGATGGACGGCAAAACATATGGCGTCTGACTTTGGCCGAACGTAATATTTGCTTTTGATATTGTTGTGAAACTTTTCTGAAAGAAATACATTCATATAGATAAGATTTATTCAATAATACTGATACACTGAAGGCAAACTTTTTTCTTGAGTTGAACTGCCCATACTGACGATATTTTTGAGATTTGTAATTAAGAAATTACAGTTAAAATATTTACCTATAAGACTTCTATCAGTAGATCTTGGAAAACGACTCTCCTCGTCCAGCAAAGCCAACAACCCCATGGGTCTTGATAGTAGCATATCCAAAACCGGTCTGTTGTCAGAGAACTCTACTAGATCCACAGGTATACCTTCCGCCATGTATTCTTGCTGCTCCCACGTGAAAATATGTTGGTTAAAGTAATATTGAATTTGTTCATTTGCAATGTTGATACAAAGCTGTTCGAATGAATTGTTTTGGAAGTTTTCAAAACCGAATATGTCCAAAATTCCTATTGATAATTGTTCTACACTGAAAAAATAAAATGGAGAGTAGATTTCGTTTTACATTTTATTATTTACAAATTTTGTTAAATTGTAACTCACCCATTTGGTTTATTTTGAGAAAGTAGAGCATTAATCCTTTCTACTATGCGGTCAAATGTTCTGGCATACAAGCCCCGTGCAGTAGCGTCCCTGGCAACAGCAGCCTCCGCTGGTGAGCTGTGCCGGGCGATCGTCTCTCCCCTGGTCACCATGCTACTACTGGTCAGACATTCTCTTAGATCTGCTGTTTCAACTCCCAAGAGACAAGAAGCTGCAAAAAATGAAATATATATATTTATTAAACTTTTGTTATAAATCAAGTTGAGAAAGTAATTTTACTACAAAAAATTGTGTAATACCTCTATGCAGTGGGGCTGTATCAATTATAGTAGCTCGGTTGTCTGTGTTATCTTCACCTGCCATCTCACCAAATTCAATATCACCCAAATGTAAAATAGCGGAGAGCATTTTGTACAAAACAATAACTTCATCTTCATGGAATCCCACAACCTAAAGTAAATAAAAAGTTGAATAATGTATTTGAGTGTGCAAGCTACCGAGAATTTTGCACTTGCAAATACATGCTACGAAGCCGAGGGATAATCAGAAAGGTCAAGTAATTAAATGCAAGGGCACTAAAGCAACACTTAGGTAACCACTTATTTGAGACATTACCTTGAAAGCTTGATTAAGTTGCCGCCATCTATGAACATTGTGTTCACGATGAGCCGCGGAGAGCGGCTGCAAGTACCGATGTCGTGCCTTCAGCTGTTCATCCAAATAGAACTTCCTCCAACGTCCTTCACTCTCCAAACCATCGTATAAGTAATAGAAGATATGAAAATTACTTTCGCCTCTAAACAATAATAAAATACCAGTCATATATTGTTATACAAAAATACAATTCAAATTTGAAACATTAATACTAACATTGCTTGATGAACTACTCTGGACTGTTCCAATAGATAAACAGATATTCGAGCGCCCGATATTCGTCCGACTCTCATCATTGACAAGTCTAAATATTTGCCGAATCTAGAACTATTAGCGTTTATTCCTGTTCTCGCGTTGCCAAACGCTTCCATTATTGGATTAACTTGCAATATTTTTTCTTCTAAATTTCCATGTTGAGTCTGCATATAAAATAAATTATTAATAAAAATAAAATTAAGCCTACAGAGAATAAGCCCGGGTTTATAACATTTTCTCTAATCATATTTTTATGCAAATTAAGTATCTGTTAAATCGTCTTCATATCGAGAAAGGGACCATACATTTAACAAGACTTTTTGTATTTCTCGATCATTCATAATAAAATATTGGTTAAACATTCCATATCATAAATAGTACCTTTGATAAAAATACGAGTTGTTTGAGTAATAGGTTTGCTGACTCAGTTTTGCCGGCGCCGCTCTCTCCGGATATAACAATGGCCTGATGATGTTTTTGATGCATTAAAGCCTGATGGGCTGCGTCCGCAACTGCGTAAATGTGAGGCGGGTTGTCGGAGCGACACCGGCATTGATACATTTGTTGTGTCTGGAAAAAACATGTGGCCTTAATTATTCATATAAAAATCTTATTCGTAGACCGAGTCTACTATGCTTTATAGTAATTGATTTAAGTCACAGAACTTACTTTAGGTGTATAGATTCCTATATCAGTAAAAGGATTTACTGCTACGAGTATATCCCCGATGTAGGTGTAAATTTGGTTTTGATTGTATCTCTTTTGTAACTGCTCTACTATTGCGTCCTCCGTCAAGGATTCCAGCGTCGCCAAGTCATCTGTGTACATCTTTTCCGGTCGCGCTTTACGATGTGATTTTAACTTTCCCCGCTTCGTGGTGGCTTCTGTGGCCCGAAAACTTCTTCCGTCAGCTCTTTGCCGCTTTATCTCCGCATGAAGTTCTTTTCTTATCTGCAAACAGGAGCTATTTGCAACTGACCAAAACAAATATAATATTATTCATTTAGAAGAATATTGTTACCTTGTCTTCGAAACTGTTTACAGCAAGCAATAAAGGGTGCTCTAAAAGTTCTCTTGCAAACGGCCGTTGGCTCATATCTTTTATCAAACATTCTGATATAAAGTCAGAGAGCTGCGTTGAGAATAATTCTGGTCGACTTAAACTTGGCGGTGGGTTCCTAGGAATTTGAAAAAGGGCTCGCATGGGATGCAACCCGGAAAGTGGGGGTTCCCCCTCAGCTAATTCTATAGCAGTAATTCCAACTGACCATACATCGCATCTACAATCATAAGATTGATCCAATTGCTGTTCACAAGCTATCACCTAAAAACCAAAATCAATATTAATATCCATGCGTTAACTTTCAACTCTGTTTAACAGAGATGCATTTATTACCTCTGGCGCCATCCAATATGGAGTACCGACAGATGTGTTTCTTCTCGCAGCCGTTGCGGCTAGATGTGATGATACTCCAAAATCTACTAACTTTACTTCAGCATTCTCAGTAAGTAGTATATTGTGACCTTTTACGTCACGATGCATACATCGATGGGCATGTAAATGTGCCAGAGCGCGCACGGTCCCTCTGAGCACGTAAGCTAGTTGAGGTTCGGTGATGTTACTGCCTCGTGAGCGCATACCCGCACACAGATCAGTGACTGAACCACCGGTACAGAGCTACAATATAAAAGGTCAATCATGATCGTTTTGGCATTGAACTAAAACTCCTTTCTCACAATCTAAGGCGAAATTATACTGACCTCCATAACAAACCATATTTGGTCATCTTCCGCGCTCACACCACGTTTAAGAAACAACCCGAAAAATTCTGGTATATTTTGATGACTCGATAGATCTCTGAATACGAGGAATTCCTCTTCTATTTCTTCAATATTTTCGGCAATGTTTTCCAAAATCTGTAACATAATTAAATAGGCACGTAGTTAAAAATTTGAAAAATAAATAAAACGCTTAGGACACACATGAACATGAAAATTAAATTTTCATTTAATTAAATGAATCCCCAATGCGACAATCTGTGGTTTGCCAGAATATTTAGGTAGTTAGCTGTTATGGCAACATTGTAATTGAAAATGATTGTTCTCAAATGGATAACAATAGTGTTTTGCGTAGCTGCAGGCCGCTTGCTAACCGAGAATTTGTCATAGAATAAAAGGTTGTGAAATAATTATGGTATTGTCACACAACCATGACACCAATTTAAATGTTTAAAGATATTATCTGACGGAATGTTTGTTGCTGGCAAATAATACTTTCTACTGAAATATCTATGTGAGTACTAGGAATTTAAATTTTTCTTGTACATTTTTAAAAAAAATTGTGAAAAAACAATAACATTACGCAAAACCGCTGACAAAGTTGGTATTTCACCAGCCCATTCCCGATAGAAAATATGAAGCTATGACTAAATGCTGTTGCGATTTGATTTTATTCGTCTCAGAATCATGCGAGCGTGGTGCACGCTTTCGAGTGTAAAGAGTGGCGTGCGGTAGGGTTTAAGTTACAGACCTTGACGGCTACCCGGCGGCCAGACTTGGTGTCCTTGGCGCAGTAGACCTCGCCGTACGTGCCCTCGCCTATGAGCTCCTGCAGCGTGAAGCGGTCGCGGGGGTCGGCCGCGCGGTCCAACTCCACGTGGCGCGACAGCCCGCGGTACGCCATGTCGCTGCGCATCGCACCTCACTCACATCGATATCTTCTGTAAGTAAACAAAATACGACGTCTTTATTTTGTTTTTAAGACTCCCAGTTAGCAAACAGTTCACATAATCCCATATGAAACCCCAGTTACAATTGATTTACCGTGAGATGTTATGTAGTGTTATAAGTGTCTTAAAAAATGGATTTGTTGAGTATCTTATATGAAAAGCAGAAACATAAACAGTATTAACGTCAACTTCAAGTGCGTTTTGTGAGGTCGTGATACCTCCTCGATTTTGTCATCTCTATCATGCAATAGCTGTCGCTACCACGAATCTCTGCAAATGCTAAAGACAGTTATTTGACTAAAGTAACCTTCATTATATTAATAAAATCTACAGGTTTGATTTTGTGCAAAACCACATTGTATGTAAGTACAAATATGGAATAAAAGAAACTTGATAAATTATTATTACAGTGAGTTATTGGTCTGGACTAAAAAACGTTATTGTTTTTTTTGCTTTAAGGCCATGTTTTACGATACAAACGTAGTCACGACAGACGAGTAAAAAATTACTCTACTTATGGCCGGTTGCATGTCTACTTAACTTGAATTCGGCTTACATTGAAATACATAGAGATATAAGAATGTTCGGTCTAGGAAACAATAAGGATTTAAAGTGTATTCTAGAACTACGCGTAGTTATTAATTGTTGAGGAATCTTATTTTGTTTAATATTTCTTCAAAACATAATTACGTACCGATAACTGATAGATATGTGAAGGAGTAATGTCTTGATACCAAACTTTCGTCGATGTTTTAAATTATTCAAAATAGAAATTAAGAATTAAAAGCGTAAACATTGTAAAAAGTTATTTTATAATGCAACTTTTATTATTATTGTTTAGATGATTTAGTTGTGTATCCAAAAAAGACGTAAAATTAGACACGGTCGAGTTCCAACGTAAATATTTAAAAGTGCATTACCATTACGCTATAACGTTGTTTTGATGACAACGAACATAAATTCTCAACACCAGCACACTGATGCTTTTGTGAATAATTAGTCGTGTTCAAGAACTCTAGAATTCGTACTCTATTTTTAACACACATTCGGCGGATCCTTTAAAATTACTTTTTATTTATAACACACCGCGTCCATTTCGGAATATTATTTTTGATTTGATTTTAAAAATAAATCTAATTGCGAATTATAGATAATTTTGTCAATCTAATTAGTATGGTTTGGATTTTAGTATTCATATTTTTTTCTATCGTATTTTGGTCGAGATTTTTAAGGTCATTTAATATTCTTAATAAAGTTTTAACATGATTTTTCTTCCACAACAATCTTTAAATATGATTGTACCGGATTTTGTGTTTTTAGCATTAGGTTTTTCTTTTTTATAGCATGTATTATATATTTAATGTATTCAGGAACATAATTCCTGGATACATCAACTTACCAGTTATTATTACAACAAAAAATGTCTGCGTTGAAAAGTATACAAGTTTTTACATTAATTGCCGTCGTCTCGTGACGATTGCGGCTTACGACGCACGCACAAACGATGACTAAATCATAATAGTAGTTGTCAAATGATTAGTTGTCCGTTATGAATCGCTTTTCGTTCGTAAACAACTTGACTATAAATAATAATTATAGGCCGCTGACTATAACGGAATGTTCAATAATAAGCACGCAATTGGAAAACAAAAGTAGCCGCCATTGTAAAGGCTAACTGGCTACTTAAAATTGTGTCAATAATTAAAACATATTTGTACAACGCAACGTTTCACTTTACACAGCAAAATAAAAGATTTTTTCAATACATTGCTGTATTTTTCTGATGGTTTCAACAATCGTTTTTAAAATTTTAATGGAATAGATATTTTTTATAATTTAATTCTTCTCTTTATTAAGTTATAGATTTATATAATAGAGTTATGTTGTTTTAAAGTATCAGCATCATTAATTCACTATATGTCCCCGCTGAGGGGCTTATAGTCAGCCACCCTAGTCTAGTGCGGTCGGTTGACTTCACATGCATATTTGAATTTCTTCGGAGATATGAACAGGTTCCATTGGGATGGTTTTCTTCACCATAAGAACGTCGGATAAATGTACTAAGGTATGCAATGCAATGTTTTAAACAATGCAATAGATAAATCCGTTAACGAAATATAGTAAAATAAACGTCAAGGTGAGCCCGCCGATGCATGTTAAACTTTTATTGCTTTCAGTGCTCCGCGACATTTATTATTGACTCATGCTCTTTGAAAATGTCAATGACGAAATCAAGGCACGATGCATGTACAAATAATTAAATATTTACTCTTATTAAAAATTAATTGTGAAATTAAATATAAAATAAATTCATAATATTAAAAATAGTACTTTTGCTTACGTCTCACATCTTTCACCCTTGCTAAAACTATAACTATTTTATTCCTGGTTTATATAAATAAAATAAATAAATATCCCAAAAATGTTTTTTCAACGATATCCGTTGATCCGTTCTGGAGATAGCTTTTAACTAAAATGCATTCATCCATACATCCAAATATTTGCATTTATAATATTAGTAAGAATTAACGTTATTTAATGTTTTAAACGCAATGTAGTTTATTGCAAACTTACAATCATCTCGCGTGATACTTTCGTAACGCTAACCAATATTAAAAACAATAGAAACAAGATAACATAGTGCATTAAGAAAAATATTCACACAATTGTATTATGGATCTCATTTAATAAGTACAAGAAATCAAACTGTGAGACGTTCTTATTGGTATCACTTGTGACGCAACTGACTTCGAATATGCGCTCGAGAGCTTTGTAAATTAAGTACCAACATTAAGGTGTATTTCCACTGGTGAAACGTTATACCAAAAGACATTATTATATCAGCTATTTCAGAGAGAATGAAAGAGATGGCGACATGTTTGTTTATGAATGTAACGGTAGTGGAAGCCTACGCTTATATGAATGATTTGGAAGTCGCATAACTTGACATGAATTGATATTTACGCTACAAGCACGTACAAGTGTATCCGTTTAGATTGTGAATGTGTAGTGAGCGATGACTGTGTTGTTATTCAATTTGAATATGTCAAATTAAACGGTTGAGTGATTTCATATGAACGTACTAGAGTTATGCGTGCACTTCTTTTTTACTTTAAAAATAAAATGACTATAATTTTTTTAAGAATGTTAAAAATTAAGGTTAACTGAGCTTCTTCGTTGCCAGTATCTGCAGCATTATAACATTAAATGCAGGATTACCTGCAAACTATAAATAGGATATACCAGAGTGGTATGAATTGTCGATATATTACGAGTGCATTTGAATCAATCAAAAGTTCCTAGAATTTGACCCTCACATTTTGATATTCCGTCGCAATACAATTAGAAAATCCCGATTGATGTTAGTCTTCGTTGTATGACGGGTGGAGTTCGCGCACCTTCCACTCACCTTACACTTAGACCATTCCTAGTAAAATCTGTAATGTGGTCTGCTAATGTAAATATGTATTATAAACGTATTTATCAATGTCAATCCAGTGATGGATACTTTGGTGAAACTTGAAGTAATGGCTTTTATTCTACAAAAAAAAAGTATGTGATCGCATTACAAAAACACGTGAAAGGTGTATTTGTGTTTCACGAAATTGCAAATACAATTACTTTTTACTGCAACGTTTGAGTTTTGAATATTTTATTACTCAAGTCACGTCATTATTTGCAATGTAGATATAGAAAAAGAAAGTGCACGTGGGACTTTAAAAACGAGGAAACAGATTGATACTAAGTTTTAAAAATTACCTTTGTAAAAGTTTTTACAGTCTTGTACAAAAAATATATAAATAAGTATTAAAAACGTAAGTAAAGTAGACCACAATCTAGTTTGTATTTATAAGCCGTTTTGGTAATTACTCTAGCAAAAAGTCATCTTCAATCAACCGTATTTGTCATTGCAGCTTCGATTATTTACAATTCATAAAAGTCACAAAGGTCGTTCACGTAATAATTTATTCTAATATTTATTAGAGTATGAAAATAACCGCGACTAAAATCAAGGAAATTGAGCAAGTTGACAAGCGAACGTGAAACATTGTCAGTGTAAGAACAGAGGGGGTCGCAACGTTGATCTTAATCCGAAGTCTTCAAGTCACCGTACCCGACAATTAGCGCACACAATACCACGTAATGATGGCATTAAAATATTTTCATGCAAAAAGACTCCACGGCTGACGCCTCGCGACGGACAGATGTTGACGACACTTTCACTTATATTTGTCACGAAGTTTAACCGTTACGATTACATATCGGAAACTCAACATATAAACTTTGTTATACATATAAACTTCGATAATAGAACATCATCATCGCTTTTTCTTTTTTTTAATTTTCAAATTAGGAAAGTAAAGTAGTAACAATTTCTTAAAAATAATGTTATTACCGAGTTAAAATGAATTTAGATGTAATTAATTAATCAACATCGAAGGATTTATTTTTGGAAACTAAATATTTTCTGTTCCGTCGATTTAAATTAGAATGCTAACTACTACAGGAAATTCTTAGAATGTAAGCAGAAATTATACGTAGTATATAGTTATGTACAAAACCGCAAAATAGTACAGTCGGCTTACATGAAAGCATTTCAAAACAAATACTCTGGATTAATGACTAATTATGGGATTAATAATACTCTTGATTGCGGAAAATATTAAAAAAAACTACAAGGTTGTATAAAACAATGTTTTGTTGGAATGTATCTGATTGTACGTAATGAGGGTATTCGGAAAGCGTGTAATGTAACTAATTTCCTATTCATTGGATTGAATTCAGGCTCATCATTAGCATATCCGCCTATATGTTTGTTTTATTACTTTGTACTTTATTCTTTTACTAACGAAGCACAACTTAAGTGTATTACTTAATTTTATAAATTGTAAATCTTCCGACAAAACATATGTCTGCTTATTACAAAGCTCTTTTAGATACAAATTCGTATCGAATAATGATACTTAGCAGTTTTTTGCGGTGCGGTGAGG